GTAGAAATCATATATCATACTGCCAAACGAATAATTATAGTATCATGAAGCATTACTTGCACCGTCCTGTGTAGTTTCGCGAACACTGGCTGGACGAGTATGTTAAATCACTGTGCCCCTTACCTACTTTGAGCACTAACCCGGGGTGGATGGTGTCGGTATTACAAGTAAATCGTGGTGGCGCTCACCTAATCTGGGTGCTAACCAATAGTGGATGAAATTTGTTGGGTGAGTATATTGGTTGATATTCACACCCACTTGTTTTTCATCCACTATAGGTTAGCAGCCAGAGTACGTCAACGCCACCACGATTACTTGTAGTCTAACACCGTACTCACCCAGTGGTCTGTCATCCATCCTCGGTCAGTGCTCAGATTTGGTAAGCGCCACAGTGATTTAACATATTCCCCTAGTGGCCTATCTTCAAGGTCTGCTCCGGATTAGTTGAAGGTTACCGTGCCCTGATGAATTCATTGATAAAATAAAGAGGGAATACGGAAGGACCAATGCCAATTTGGAGCGATTCTGGAATCTCGTTGTGCACCAGTTCAGGTTTCGTGTCATGGACGGGGACCTGGTCTTCCGTTCCGCCAGGACATTCATCTGGGTTTCAATTTCTGCTGAGAGCCAGGGTAAGTGGTGTGGAGAGTTAAGGCTTGTACTTTGTACTCTCGGGATTGCGATAAAATGGGCTCTACGGGCGTATTGGCTCTGGGCTGAAGTATTGCCGTCTCCGGGGGTGGATTCATATTAAGTCAGCTGGTCGTGTGGGAATTGTGAGCGATCATGGGGTATCACCCGGCATCGTGGAAAAGAAATTCAGTGCTACTACACGATGCACAATAACCTCACCAGGCAAGGATAGTACTTCCATGTCGCTCTGCCTTGTATATCGTGTAGACTCAACCCGGGTCGAAACCAGAACCTACGGTATAAGCCCGTTATGAGAATGTAAATTCTTGTAAACGAAAATAAAAAGGAGAACGTAAAGTCCCCCCCGCCGTAACTAATGCCCTCTTTGTTCAAAACCCCTTCGATGTTTCCTAAACACAACCCCCCACATTTGTCATAACACCGCATTATCTCTACCCCCATGGTCTAAAATGCCGTATACCATATTAGCCTTGGTCGGGTGGAAGGGTTCCCGCTGGACGAAAACATACCTTTGGGCTTTGCCGAAGATCCCTGTGGTGTTTCGAGAGTAGTGGAAGCTTGGTTGTTTGAGGGGGTATCACCTTGGCGACCTGCCGCGCGGGATTCTCCTGGTTGTTGATCGCCATTGGTTTGTCCTGAGGGAGCTGCATTTAGTATGGGTAGAGAATGGACCCATTCATGAATTGGGCAAACATTTCTTTCTCGTGTGACCCTTTCTTCGTGCTAATGATTTCAAGGCTCACGCAATTCTCCAGATCTCCTATTTTCGGGATATGAACCGCCAACACCTTGTTTCAATCCAAATGCAGAGTTCGTCTTCACGGGCCGCCTGATTTCCTTTGGGATCTGATTGTATGTGCGGTCCTGCCGGCCGAGATTATACTTTGCATAGAGGTTCCTCTCCTCTGCCTATATCCAGCCCCCCCGTGAAGGGGTTAGTTAGCCATATGTAACTATTCAATGGAAACGCCCCTCAATAGTTTCCCCCTCTTTTCGGTCCCACTAGGCCCTCCCTTTCACTCTCTTCAGCACCACCTCTCTTACCTTTATCTCGTCTCCAGCTCTCTTACCAATTTCTATGGCTTCATCAACATCCCGTGGCTGTTTCAAATGTTCTGCGAGTATCCTCTCAACAACATCATCTGATATTCCACCCATGGGCTATAGGCTTTGTTCGGCAAATGCAGAGGAGCTTTAGGTAACCCTGGATAAATTATAAAATGTGAATCAGGTGGTCTGGACGATGGAAACATGCTCTGTCATGCCATGGGCAGCAGGAGGTGCAACAGGTATTTATAAATACACATATTGATAAGCGCCTGTAGAGGAAAGCATATCCTCTCAGTAACAGGAGCTTCAGGCTCCGTGGTATATTCAAGTGTTCCAACTTGATTAAGATACATCTAAGCCATGTGGTCGTATTTCCTCTCGAGGTTTGGTCGCCGGTTCCTTATTACCTCAGGTGCTAATCCCTACTACAACAGGTCCAGGGATTCGGTTAGGACGTCTCACTCATAGGTTGCATCTGTCCAACGCTTTACAGTCCTTGACTCCTATTATTCGAACAATTGGGCAGTGTGCTACGAGACGTTTAGAAAGGGGGCAGCCACTTTCCCTCTTCCGAAGTAGTTGGAATGGAATAGCCAGAGCTCACTCAAGAGGAAATCCAACAACCTATACACCAGCTTTACACCATGTACCCGAGTATAATGTTCAGCAAATGAACGCACAATCCCCCATCCCCCTAGACCCCCATCCTATATCCTCTCCCCACCCACAATGGCAATATGCACATCAAGCCATACATTCGAAGAAACCCTGCGGGCAAACGCCTGGCGCCTTTACCGGGGAAACAAGGCTTTAAGAACTAGATTACCAGACCCTCCACCATCTCTTGCACATTATGCAGGCACCTCCTCACCTGCCCCCTTCAATGACGGTGTACTAATACCTGTCTAGCAAGGTGGGGGGCTGGAGACCTACTGTGGCTAATCGGACACCTTCGCATCGAACAAGGGTCGTTAATAAATCTTGGAACGACCTAAATGAGCCCAGTGGTACATGCGGTAGCACAACCAACTCAGAGCCACTACGAGCGGTATGTATCGACGGCCGTCTTGTGGAATATCCTAAGTGGACAGGGGTAAATGGTAGGATTGATGCATGGGGCGAGTGATATTGGATGAGGGCGAACGATGGAATCCGTAATCATTATGTATTTGAATTCCTGAACTTCGATGGCACGTAGGGTATTAGGGACCCAGGTCCGACATTAATACAAGAGTGGTCATACCATATGATATTTGGCACACACGAGTAGCCCACCCATGCCAACGTACCGAGTGATAAGAAATCTTTCAGCATAGAGACTCCTCCCAATCCATTGTACCTATTGCTAGAGGATCCTCCACCCAATCCCAATGTCCGGTCTCCAACGTCACCCAGTCTCCACCCATGGCCTCGGCCTCATAAACAACCCCATAATCTTCGCCCCAAGTCCCAACCCAGCCCCCATCCCATGCCACAGGGCCAGCTCCAGAGATACATGTCCATACCGATACCCGCCCCATATCCCACCCCATATCCCACCCCATAACCTCCGGTCCAGGTCTCCATTACAGAATCTCCACATGTTGCTGGGGTCTCCGGTAGTGTTGGGGTCCCCCGCGCTGTTCGGTTTACCGGCCGCCGCCACTCCTCAAACGTACATCATGGGCGTCGCCGCTTGCGCGAGACTGCCATTAAGGGTTCCTGTGGTGTTGGGGTCCCCCATGAGCTTGAGCTTCTTGGCTGCTGGCGCCCGGCCACCACAATCCTGAACCCATCCTGGCCGCTCGCAGGATACCTGTGATATAGTACTGGCCAGTCACCGCTGTACATTAGCCATTGGGCCTCCATTCCGTCATCCTTCCGAGGTTTAACCGGAGCCTGAGGGAATCGCCGTTTGCACGATACCGTCGTTGGGTCTCCAGTGGTGTTGGAGTCCGCCGCGATGTTGGGTTTCCCAACCGCCGCGACTCCTCAAACGCATCGTACGCGCATTGGCGCTTGTGGGAGATTGGTGTTGGGGCCTCCGGTGGTGTTGGGGTCGCCTTTGATGTTGAGCCTCCCGACCACCGCCACTTCTCAAAAGTACCGTCCGAACATTGCCGCTTGCGCGAGACTGGTGTTGGAGTCCCCCGTGATGCTGAGTTTTCCGGCTGCCAGCACAGAGCTATAACGTTCTCGAGCTCATCCTGGGCGTTCGCGGGATAACTGGGATACAGAACTGGCTGGGGAATGCTTGTAATTGGCCATCAGGTCCCCTGTGTCGGCACAGTACTAGAATAGCTTCCTAGTCTTAACAATAATTCACTATGGCGTCGTAGCAATGTTCTGTCTAGGTATCAAGTCGGCATCCTGTTGACAGTCAGTATCAATCCCAAAACCAAAGACAAACAAGGCAACAGACGGCGGTAAGCGGCGAACCTATACCCGTTTCTGGTCATTTGTAAAGGTTCACCGAGTTGCCCGAACTCCACGCCTACATAGCGAGGCATGAGGCGAACGGTTGAGAATTGCTATCAACCTACCGGTCACTTTGCATGGATCAGAGCGAAACGGTCGTATCCAAACAGGGCCTTATCCGTATACTTATACCTAGGCAATGTCCGGAAATCCTTCACCTTCTCCACCACCGAGTCCGAAGATTGATGATGGCACTAAGACGGGTATTCGGATTGCACTCGGGAATACGGCAAGTTTTATTGCCTATACTACTCCAGTTTGTACTTGTTTTCTGCTTTTAGGGGTATCAACTGATGATGCGTAGGATGGCAAAGCAGACGCCATCGCGAATAAAGAAGGCCCGCTTTTTACGGGTGAATGGATGCTGATGGGATGAGCGGTTGTGGATGACCCTAGATCAACAAGCTCCGTCAGTGCAATCATGAGTCGGTACGCAAGAGTACCGTGGAACACAAGCGAAACGGTACCAGGTTCGGAATGCAAGGAACATTGTAGCGTACTTCCATGGCTTGCTTGAGAAGAAGTGTTCTGATATCAATCCAACGAATAGAGACAACTCTGCTCATCCAATGGACATTGATGGAGTGCCATCATTCAATCTCCAATGTGCAGATGGCGGGACTATTTCCAACGTTAGAATCAATGAGATTACCACAAGACAACTTATCCGACTTAAAGATTCCCAGCCGGACTTCTCAAAGGGCAATCCACTGATGCCATGACCACTGTTCGGACCTACTTTTCAGATACCCAATAGGATTTGCTTGTTGCCTCGTCTAAGAGTAGAGTACATGAACCTTTGCAGATCATTCACGAACCGGTAGGAACTGTCCTTGCCTATGCTGCTAGGCAGACTCCGGAAGAGCAGGGCGTTGACAAGAATGTTTGTGGCAGATCTCGGATGTACTAGGTGTGATACGGCAGTTGTCACGTCAAGAGGTGGGATGTGGTGTACAGTACTGTACACCATTCCTGCGATGACTCATAATTATGCACTTAGCGGGGTGAAGCTTGATGAGGTGCTTGTGGATCACTTTTCAAAAGAGTTTTTCCAGAAGGATAAGGTTGATCCGGAAAATGAGAGGTCACTTGCCACACTGATCCTGGAGCCTAAGGGGACGAATAGGCTTTTATCGCTGGGCACCTCGGCCACCATTTCTATAGTGCCGCTTGTTGATGGAAATGACTTCCACTCCACCATTAACAGACTGCGGTACGAGCTTTCCCCAAAGGTGTTCAACCAAATTGCGTTTCTCGTGGAGGAAATTGTGAAGAAAGCGGCGCTGGACATGTTAGACATTACGAGGTTTGTTGCGCCGTTTTATAGCCAGCCATCCAATTCTAACCATGACCCAGGTAATCCCCTCGGGCGGGACCTCCCACCCCCCCAAAATCGCCTCTCTCATTGCCAAATTCAGTGTCCGTAAATGCCCGAGTAATACTCACAGCGGCACTCAATACATCACAACTCTCGGCCCGTGGAGCAGCAATCCAACCTTCCCTAATTGCCAAATTCAACAGGGAAAGACATCGAGTAATCTACCCACCCTTCAGTACCCGTAGACCCCCACCTCTCACATCCAATCGGTGACGTAATCGGCGAAGTCAATAGCTTCCAGGCAATGCAAGAAACAAATACCGTCGCCCCTGCTCCCAGGGTCGCTCTATTTGACGTTCTATTTGACGGCGACGTGATCAGCAGAACCTGTGAGGGTATTAGAAGGATTGTTGTTGAGAATATTGAGCAACAAGTCAGCGGTGCGAAGGGTGAGGATGATGATGATGAAGAGAATGAATATTATGAAAGGCAGGAAGAGTAAGAGCGCAATCGCATACCAAAGGTGAGCAAGGTCATTGCCGAAGCAGCCATCAAGGGTGCAATATTAAAGATGGAAAGTCTAAGTTAATATCAACATCGGCTCGGGCCTTGATCTGGATGTTGCTCCCGGGGTATCATAGTTGGCACGCAAATTGGGGTTAGGGGAGAGGTTAAGCCTGAGGCCGGATCTGCGCAGTAATCTGCTCCTGTGGTTGTATCATACCCGCATAAAATTGGAGAAACAGGTTTGGTTGCTTACTTACCTGTTATACCTTTTATCTGTTTACTTTTACTCCTTTCATAAACCCTATGAGTGTATGTACTTCGCAGCTGCCATTTTGCCGACCCAGTAGCAGATTATGTTGCGCTGGAAACTGGTTGGCTGGTTGTATAGCTGGTCATCGGTTATCACTCATGGTTGAAACTGCCCTCCTAAGAGGCGAGTGAGAGTGGTGTTTGGCCGACATTGTCTGGTTTGTCGGGATTGGATTCTTCCCGCCCAAGCAATATTCTCAGAATTTCCTCATTTTCAAGCCAAACAACGAACGAGGGCGATACTTGGCCATTATGTTCAGGCTTGTTGGGGTTGACCTCATCTCGCCTTGGTATCATACTTTTTTTCTTCATTTCTTTTATCTTTTTCACCACTTCTTCTCCGGTCCATGATTGCACCGTAGGCATCTTCCAGGCCCAACCTGTTTGTCATTGTTTGCTAAACTCCTCTTTCCTGGTGGAGATTCTCGATTTGTGTTAAATTTCTGCCATGTTTAGGGAAACAGGTAGAATCCAGGATTTATTTATCTATCGTGAGATTCCTAGCGCTCGCGTTTCCCCCATGCAATCCTTCTCAATCATGATTACTCCTCTTGTTACAACCCAACAGAAACACCGCCCAAACGTAGTACCCCCATCATATGAATAAAAAGAAAGAAATAGAAAAAACCATGTAACAGGAGTGGGAGTAGAGGCGCAACGCAATGGATACAGGGGAACAAAAGAAGAAAAGTCCGCCACAATTATAGTTGAAATAAGAAAAAGATGTAAAGGCTTAAGTTAAAAACAAGAGCGAAACTGAACAGCAATAGTTTCAATTTGACCACGAGTATAATAAAAATCCTCTTCATCACCATGTCGTACTCTCAACAAAAGGTCTTCGAAAGTCATGATGAAAAAGGGAAGTGGTCCAATGATTGTACAGGGTGATGTAGAACAATCGATCTGGAGAGAGTTATCCATGACTGGAATTCTTTCAGCACTCGCTCGTAAATTGTGTTCATCAGGGGGGGCTGGAAATGAACGCCAAACTTCCAACTCGAGTCGAACCTCTGCAGAGATAATATGAGCCACAATTACAGCTTTCACTGCGTAGTTGGCCTGCACCAGCCACCATTTAGCCGCACAACGAAGCTGTTCAAGACTCTGGGATGCTCCGCATTCAATTACCACGGTGGGCCAGTTTTGAGGAACAGGTCTGCGCATAGTTGGTAACAATCCCCCATCTGCCTCCTTGCAGGAAGCAGAATAAATTGTAGAGGTAGGATGATATGTTGTGGATCTAACAGCGCTCAATTCTGAGGCAACGTTCATAGCAGCCGCTGTCATATAGATTTCCACAAAAAGGTGCTGTGAAATTCGTTCATGGATTCCGGCAGTGTTCCCAAGCGTCCAGTCCGTCCGTCTTTTCCCTAGGACGGAACGAACGCCGCATTCTCTGCCACTGCCCTGGACGGACGCCCAACTTGTAGTCCGTCCTAACCTATGCCCGGGACGGACGGCCGGACCCTACAGGCTTTTCGAGTGATAAGGTGTGATTGGAATAAAAAATGAAACGAAACGCCAAGAACAAAAGACTGATCGCCAATAACGGTGACGAACCTTTTCTCATTCTACCGCTCACTCCTACGCTCACGACTTGGGAGATAGACCGAGTCAGCCATAACTCCCATGCAAGGAATGTGATAATGCTTCAGACATATTATTAATTTTGTAGTTAATTAACACGGTTTGGATAGTGCAAAGTAACAGAAAATAGGGAAAATGAGACACGGTTTCTTGCCGAGGTGGCTTACCGAATGTGAGATATACTCCTATCCCTCTGGTATGAAAACGGGCCACATAATTATTTTGTCAATGAACCACGCATATCCCACTACGATGCAATTCAGGGGGTGACTATCTATTATAGGTTAGTGTGAAAAATACCTATAGGGCCCGGCCGTCCTTACCCACCCTGCCCGGGACGGACGGGACTATAGGACGCCAGGGCCCTGCCGTCCGCCCGGGACGGTTGGGAACACTGGATTCCGGAGGGAACTTGTATGATTAAAACTTGCAGGAACTCGAAGTACTGTTTTTTATGGCAGGTGTTGGAATGGTATTGAAGTGGGATACTGCAAGAGGAGGAGTTCCCAGAAAGGCAACAAATGGGGATGGTAGAGTAAGTATATCATGTTTCATCTCATCCAGGATTTCGAGCATCTCAGGAACCGATTTAAACCGATGAATATGTTCTTGAGGCAAACCGATTAGGGAATCCTCTATAGTTTCCTTAAACTCTGTAGCCATGTCGGTGTAGTTTAAGGCAGTCTTAGAAGCTGCAGATTCCCACTGCCCATCACAGTCAGAGAGTAAAGCAGGATTTGGGGGGTGGCAGATGTTGAATGAGACCGGGTAATCAGAGCAGGGGATGGGCGACTTTGGGTATCCTGTAGGGGAGAAAGGACAAGCAGTTTCAAGGGGTAGAGCCATGGTAGAGAGCAGAGCCATAGTGGAAAAATGAAGGATTGGAACGAAGGAGGAATAAGAGACGAGTGGATTAAAAGAGAAGTTGGACCTATTAAAGGGTAACAAAAAGAATTGTAGAGGAATTGGAGGATGGTCCTAGTGGTTGACTATGTTAGTATTTAATTAAAAGGAAAAAGAAAGTTGGATATACAGAGTACAAAGAAGTACAAACTTTCCAGCTATCTGCACAAGGAGATGTAGAAAGAGAACGAGGTAGAATTTCTAAAACCCAAAGGCCCCCGCCTAACAGTGGCCGAGAAGAAGAAGAAGAGAGAAGCAGGGGTTCTCCTAGGTGGAAGATGAGATTTTCTGGTATGAGGGTAGAAGTTTGGCAGAGAAGCAGCGGTTAGCTGTTTGACTTGTATTGGTTAATTGGGATATAAGATGAGTATACCGAGAGAGGTTATGTGGCACTTACCACAACAGAAGTGGTAGAACTTCCAGTGTTTCCTGATAAGAGGGAGGGGAAAGGGCCGCGGAAAACTTTTGCACGCCACAAACTTGAAGTCCTTGGCTGATTTGAATCGGTTAGATGAAAGAAAGATAGATGACGGTTTTCCAAGATGGAGAAGAGGTATTTCGAGTAGGAGAGTAGAAATGCGATGGTGGAGGGTCCTTTGGCTACCGTATGTTAGTGGTATAGTAAAATGAGCATAAAAGAAGGAGCAATGTGGTAATTACCAAGACAGAAGAGGTAGAACGTTCAGCGTTAAGTTATGAGAGTGAGGAAAAAGAATCTGATAGACCCCTTCAAAGTCTCAAACCCGCAGGAAAGAAAGAGAAAAGAGGGTTGTCTGAAAAGGAGAGGATGTTTACCATGTTGGGGAGTAGAGAAGTGATCGAGAAGTGGTGGTGGGTTGTTTATGCTTTTGTACTTTATCGTACACGTAGACTGTGGGTGCCCGCAGCCAGGCATGGCAAGATCTGGCAGCAAAACCTCAGCAAGCCAAACTATGCCAAGCCACGCTGAGGGCACACCCAGTCTATGTCACAGCAAAGGTGAAGTGGAGCGAGGGTAGCGAAGGAAGCGGCAATTACTAAGAAGGAAGAGGATTCATAATGGTCTACCGTACAACTACTCGCGATCTTGGCTAGGAGTTCTCAAGCGCGGCTACTGTGGTATTAACACACGGTAAATTATCACTGATGAGCTTATAACATTCAGGTTCACAGAGGTTAGTTGGCTCAATGGTACGAGTTGGGAGCGCTTCACTGTAAGTTAAAGGTTATCAACCCATTTACTATGGAAACATTGGGGAATACGTTGGGATGTGGTCCTATGGAAAGGAATTAATTGATAAAAAGAAAACAGGGAATAGCGAGGAACCGATGTCACTTTAAAATTATACCAAAATATCATTATACAATGAGTTAAGCATTTCGGTTATAAATTTGGACCTGGTGTTCTGCTGTGTGTGGTTTTCTTGCGTATTTATTGGGACGCCCACCAAACTTTGCTTTGTACCGTTTTTTCCATAGTCGTGCCAGGTTGCAGCGAGCAGCCGCAACCTTAGCACAAAAATGCCCTCTGGTACGTTATTAGGGTGACGGCGCCCCGCGCAAAAATGATATATAGTTGGAAGTTGGAAGTTAGAACTCTGGGCGAATATTTGAGAGGGAAGAAAACTCCTTCACGGCAAGAAGATTTGTTATTGGGTATTCCTTGCTTTTTTCAAGTGTTGCCGCGGGCATGGCTGCCAATGCTTCGGACTTCTGACTTCTAACTTTGATATATGCACGGGGGAGCTGTCACTCTATTGTTCAGCGCTTTCGATTTTTCCATTTTGAAACTTCCGACTAATATTTTTTTACCCTCAAAAGAAAAATTTGAAGAACTGCTGATGCCTTTACTCAGAAACTAGGCTCGCTAGATCACACACGAGCTCCTCTTTGACCACAAATCCTCTTTGTCTTACCACCCCAATTACGTCTATTCTAAGAGGCATTCAGCTGTACACACCTTGGTGATCCCTCGATTGCCTGCTTTCACCAGTTCCCTAGTCACTCCACAGATTACACTTACGATAATCACCAACCAACGATGGCTCTGAGTCGCTCTCTCCTCCGTAATGTCTATTTTCATGATGCTGCCAATCCTGATGTGACTCTTGGAGGACCTTTCCAGAGTAGGTCTATGGCCGAGGCAAACTTTCTAGACATGCTTGGAGTCAAACTTATCATTGAGGCGAATCCTCCACGGGTTCAAGAGGGGGTATTGGGCCATATCTTATCCAGAACAGATATACCGCTCAGAAAAGAAGCATACGATATTTATTGTGATGGTATGTACTCTATTCCCCCATTTACTAGGCGGCTCAGTTCCTAATTTCGCCAGCCACTATCCAGGTCAATAACGAGTCTTGGATACCTTTGTCGATATCTCATTATTCCTAGAGCTGATAGTTTCTGTGAAGAATATAGATTCTTCCATAGAGCCCGTAATCGCGACCGGAGATACATTATTTCGGGATTGATAAATCCTGAAGCCCATATCCAGGCCAATCGCTGGGTTGGTTTCCAACCTACCCATATATTCCCTCCTGACCATGAAAGTCTTCAGACTCAGTGTAATTATGGCCGATGGATCACAGATATAGGCGATACTCTTGAGACTCCGAAAATCGACTCATGTCAAAACGGGTTTCTATTAGGGTAAAATGCTTTCACTTACCTTCTTTTTTCCATTATGCTATGACTTAACAAATGGCCCTGAAATGCTCAAGGCAGCGATTGAGCAACGACAACAGGGGACTTCTTAGCTCGCTGGAAGGTATTTTGGTGGTCCGCAAAACATGCAAAAATGTCATTTTGCGGATCTCTCGGTGTAAGCGACACCAATGGCTGTCAAGCACATACACTACCTTCTCCATGTTTGATTAACGACTACTCATACACATAAAACACACGATGCTAGTGCGGTGCAGGGCCCAGAAACGGTTGAAATAGTCTCAGAAAGCCAGAAACCCCTGTCAGAAGGAATGCCACGGAGTTGGCGCCATTTGAGGGTAGAGAGGGGGGGAGAAGAGACCAAGAACCAAAATTGTTTCCTATCGTACCGGCAACCTTCCTGAACACTATCCGGGGAGTATTGCGCAATCCGTGAAACAGGGTGCGTGATATTAACTTAGCAAGCATTCAGTAGAACCCACCTGCGCTACAGGGACAGGCAATTTGTTCCTCACAAGAAATCACTGGGGGCGTAATTGTCCTGGAATATCATATTGCCGAACCACACCTGCGCGGGGGCAAAGTATTTTCTCACGCAGCTATTTTTGCAAAAAAAAAAAAGAAAAGAAAAAAAAAAGAAATAACCCCAATTCTGAAAAGTGCTTCAATGCTGGGAACAGAGTGATGTGATGTGGATTACATGAAAGGGATAATGGAGAGAGAAACTATGTATTCCAACTAGAACTACAGTAAAGCTATAGCTAAGGCCCAAACAATCAGTGAAGCGATTAGAGCGATACATGGTAAACCATGCTGATATCTCATACCCCACACCCACCCCATCCCGAAACACGCCTTTCCAGCATCCCCCTCCCCGAAAAGGTCTCAACAGCTATCACCCCGCTCGGCCGCCAGCGCAGAGCTCAAATACACCCTACCCGCACACCCACGTATCACACTGTGAACAGCGAGTTCCTCCAAGTCAGCACAGTACCCACCCCAACCCGCCCAGAGCGACCCAAACAGACACTCCTCCTCGTGCTCGGCCACTTTCCTCCCAACGCATCCGGCAGGCGGAGCACCGCTTCGCCCTGGGCGGGACACTGCCGTGCTCCGACAATCCGTTCAGCACCGTAAATCGCAGCGGTAGTAAGTGACCACATCGTTTTCGAAATCCACATCTCGCATTGAGATTTGGAGCTGGGCGGTGGTGACTTTCTGCCGGGGGGGACTCGTCCTGCTGAAAGTGCTGGCTTTGCAGCGCGGGGATTTCATTCGTGGCATGTGGCCGATCGGAGAGGTGACTCAGAAGATTTTTAGACAGACTTTTTGGACGTGGGTCTTTTTGGTAGCGTACGAGGAGGATGGACAGTGTGTGTAGGAAGGAGGACGCTAATGAGGAAGCGTTGGGTTGTGATCCGTGATGTTCTCATCTACAATGCAGGGAGGGGATTGAGAGTGTTTTCTAGAGACCTTAAATTGGATGTTCTTTCCCCCCCCCCTCCACTGGATGTAGGCTATGTGGAAATCCTCCCCCCACTCTCTTATATCCTGAGATCTATATCGTCTTTTACACTCGCCCGGCTAATGGTGTTTGGTAAGTTTGCGGTAAGTTATCGTACTGTGCCGTATTGTGTGGTTCCGGAAGCTAAGGAGGGGGGGGGGTGTGACGCCCCCCCCGGCGCCTGGATATTTTTTAAACTGGTGGAAGGGGGCCGACTACACTATTTTGAAGTTTGGGACCGCGCTGGATTCAATATTTGCACAGAAACCTCTCTACGGCCAGGGGGGTTATACGCTTTCCACCTATCGCTTCCTATCACCATATTGTACGAGTACGCTGTGTAAACTATCGTTCGAGCAACAACCTCTGCCGAGTGATAGTTCATGATCCCTCACTAGCTATACATGGTCCTTCACTCTTCATATATCAGTGTATAGATTAGGCAAAAACTTGAATCAAATTCGAAAAAGACGCGTTACAGTATAGGCAAGATCTGGTAATGAAAGAATGTGAGAAGGAAAAAATTGAGAAAAAACGAAAATAAAAAGCTTGTTTGTCCCCCTCCCGTTCCAGTATACGCCATTCCAGTATCCCCTAGTGCGCAAGCCTGTGTTTCCCAGATCCGCAAGTAAACAAGCAGGAAATCAAACAAGAGTCCAGCCGATTAAGGCAATTAAGGAATGAGTGTGTGTGCGCGAGAATACGGTTCGTTCCACATTTTTGATAAATTAAATTGTTTGTTTTTCCCGCCGTATTCCAGACGGGGGGGTTCGGTGTGGTTTTCGAGCTAACCAAGGCTAGTCCCTGAAAGATGTGACAAGGAAGTACCACAATCTACGCGAGTGTGTCTGACTTCCGCGATTTAGAATATCCGGATCTTCTGTTTCTTGATACGCGGGAAGACGCCTGCAAGCTGGTGTCAGTTTCGTTTATTATATATATCACTCGAATGGAAGGCGCACCAGCGACAATCAACACGCCAACTAAGGCCACACCCCAAGTCTTCAGATTCAAAACCAGTCTCCCATAATCGATCAAACTAGCAAGTATAAGGTTGACCAAGAATAAAGTCAAGAGGAGATATCCGGAGATACGATGATATTTGTACTAACCCAATAAGTCAGTGTAATACAATATCGGAAAGGCAATTAAGGTGAATTACAAGAACTTTCGCATTACCAACGCCACCATAGAGGCCCGGGACAAAGTATTGTGTAAATCCGATGAATGCCTGAAGAAGGAGAAGCGAGTATATGATCACACCAAGGATGGCGTGCGGTGATTCAAAGTGAGGTACTATGAAGCGTTAAAACAAGACTCCCGGAGACAGAGGAGACGATAGGATAACATACGCCCAGCCCGTTTCTTGTGCACAAGGACAGCAGCAAGAGCACCATAAAAGCACAGCGCAGCGAGGCCCACGAAACTGGCGTGCGTATAGGTACCCTTCGCGCATTAGCAAATAAGAGCCTCTCCTCCTCAGTCAACCGCAACGCCAACACGGAAAAAGACTCACTTTCTGTCTCTGATCCGGTGTATGCGTAGGCTGCAAGACTAATATCGCCTCAAGAGCAAACAATATCGCCAGCTAAACAACCAAGCAAAACCAAACATTAACCAACCAACTCCAAAGGGGGGTGGGTCACAAAGCCCGGTTAAGCTCGTCAATAACTCACCGAATTAAGCAACGGATGTAATGAAAAGGGTACGAGAATCCGATGCGTAAACACAGCTCCCCAGACCAGGGCCACGAGCTATATAACAATGGTCAGGAAGACCTCAAGGGGGTTTCTCAAGGGATTTGGGATTCGGAAGACTCACGACCAAACCCCCAATTTGTGCGAGTGATGCGGTTCCTAGAGTAGGTAAGCTATTAGTTTACAATTCCCCCACCCCCGGAAGGGGAAGAGGGAGAGGCGGCTAACCAGCAACAAGATTACGAAGCAAACCCTCGCCCTCGCCTTGCGCAACATCCCCGGGTCTGCCTAAAAGCGGCTCTTGCTCGGAGGCGGGAGCAGCTGCCGCAGCCTGTGTCGTATCCTGGGTCGTCGTATCCTGGGCTAGACAGGTGAGCGCAATGCTAGATAGGAAGAAGGGGAGGGAAGAGGACTTACAACTCATGACGATTCTTCAAAGCAGTGTGCTTGAAGTGAGCTCGTCAGTACAGAACAAGACAAACCACTCCCAACAAAACACTCAACCAAAACAACCGAACCTAACGAAATCAACGATAGATAAACCCGAGAATAATCACCAAGCAAACACGCGGTAGAAGTAAGAATTGTACGAGTACTCGAGACGTCCTCTTCTTTTTTCCAAAATCACAGAAACGAGACGAAGGAGGGAGGGAGGGGAGGAGGGAGGGAGCGATGGAAGGAGGGGAGGGGTGGAAGGCGAGTGACAGAATGAGCACAAATGACGAGATCAACAAGTTTAAACAAGCCCGTTGGAATACTCGAGTACTGTACTCGTACTATTTCGAACCAATCGATAAGCTTGTAATTACACCAACTCCCCCGCAACCGCCAAGACCTTTTTATTCCACCAATCGACTGAATTGGACACAGTGCCAGTACCCGGATCCAACGGGAACTTTTCCTTTCCTGGATTGTCGCTGTGTTGGGGGAGAAATTGGGAGGAGGCCCGGGAGCTCCAGCTTGTTGCGCTATTTTGCTCGGAATGTGGCAGGCAGGTGTGTGTGCAGTGGCGACAAGGTAAGAAGGGTGTGATAGATAGGACAAAAGGGTAAACCGTTTGGTCTATCCCGCCTTGTCCCGTCAATGCCTTGTTGCGGCGGGCAACACCGTGGAATACCGGTAAGTTATCTATACGATACCATCAAATATCACCCCATTGTTAATATTATAATCTACCCCCTAGTCTGCCTCCGCATTTATAGAGTGAAAAAATGTACGGCCATTACTGCGAGTTCACTTTTCTCTCGCTGTACTTAGACTACAGTACGAGTAAAAGATCGCTCGAAGGTTGATCCCTTTGGAAAAAAGGGATGGGTGTTCTGGATTCCACGGGCGTTTCCATGGCAGACAGAAGTGGTTGTTGACTTATCAACCCCTGGAGCTCGAAGTATGATGCGAGCAATTCACTGTGTCACGGAATCCGAAAATAAATACTCCTTCTACAGTTTACCACCATGTGGACCTCCGGGGGAAGGGAGACTTTCGAGAGCACGGTAATTTACTGTACTCGTACAAGTACCGGTAAATCACACCCCAATCCCGAATTGATAATCATCACACAGTCGCAACCGCCAAGCCAACCTCCCCAAAAGAGCCTCACAACAGCCCCACCACACCCACCCACTACAACCGCCACCACAAGTGCTCAACACTATTACAGTATAATATCATACCTTCCACCCCAATGGCCACAGTGACCGAACTCCCCACAGGTGTCGATAATGAAAACCTGGACATGCCCCGCTTCGTCGAGGAAGCCACCGCCCGACATGCCATCCCCACCCCCACACAGACAACTTCGGGCGCTGCCCTGCCCCCCGCCATATCCGGAGTAAAAAACACCACAACAGAAGAATTCCTCAAGGCAATGAACAAAATGCCCCTCTTCATGACAGAGCTGGACGAATCGAACGAGGATGGTACGGGTGAGAATTTGGAGCTTGAGGCCCTGAAGGCGCTCGCATACGAGGGGGAGCCACACGAGGTAGCTCAGAACTTCCGCAACCAGGGGAACGACTGTTACCGTGCTAGGGCGTGGCGTGACGCGGTGGAATACTATACTAAAGCGCTCGCCCTGAAGTGTGGCGTGGCGGAGATCGAGGAGGCGTGTTATGTCAACCGTGCTGCTGCGAATCTCGAATTGAGTATATCCCCCCCCCCGCGGCGCTCTGCGGGCCACTGACGAGGTGCAGAAAACCTCCGCAAAGTAATAGCGGACACTAAATCCGCGCTACAACTAAATCCGCGCAATACAAAGGCCTGGTACCGCAGTGCGCGGGCTCTCCTGGCGCTCGACAAACTTCCCGAGTCCCTCCAATGCATCGACAACGGCCTCAGCACCTCCCCCACCAACCAGCCCTTGATAACCCTGCAGGAGCAAGCCCTCTCCCGCCAATCCCACCTCTCCGCCCTCGAAACCGTGCGGCGGCAGCGTGTCCAGCGTCAGCTCGCCATTGAAAAAACCCTCGCCGCTGCACTCGCTGCCCGCAGCATCACAGTTACGAGGACCCCGCACCCGCCCGACATGGAGGACGTTCAGGTCCACCTCGAAGATCCGCTGGATCCAACTAGTGAATTGTACTTTCCCGCGATATTCCTGTATCCACTGCAAGGGCAGTCGGATTTTGTTAAGGCCTTCCCCGTTAGTTCAAAGGTGGGGATGCAGTTGGGGATTGTGCTTGCCAAGTTTCCCGAGTGGGATCATGAGAAGGCTTATTCGCCGCCCGGGAAGGTGGAGGTTTTCGTCGAGACCAGGACTGGTGGGTTAGTAAGGGTTGGGAAGAAGGCCGCACTTGGGAGTGTGCTGGGGAATGGCGGGAAGGTGGAGGTTGTGGATGGGCTTGTCAAGTTTTTGGTCGTGCCGAAGGGAGAGGTTGGCGCGTTTTTGGAGGATTGGAAGAGGAGGATGGGAAAGTAGGAGGTATCATAGTTATCAAAAAAAAAGGGGGGGGGGATTGTGGACCCAATGATAATAACATAGACTAATAAATTAAATGGTGATTATAAATATAATACCATCCCTCCCGTTCACGCCCCCTCAACACATTTAACCCGTCAAGCTCAGCTTAGCTCTATTAGAACTTTTATTCGTACCCAACTACTCGAATACTACTCATCAAATACAAAGCAAAACGTCATAACCCCGACCCACAAAAAAAAAAAAAAATACAATATAATACCAAACGAAACGGAAAAAAAAAACGGAAAAAAAAACTGCAGAATAACTAAGAAAGCACATATATATATATATATATTATAAATACGGTAGAAGAGAAGAAGAAAAACTCCCAGTCCCGGACCGTACTTACGAGCACCATCAAGAGCCAACCACAACAAGATACTAGACTAGTAGTAAAAAAGGTATAACGCCAACACAAAAGCAAAGAAAAGTACTATATGAAAATAATGTATATGAAACCAATGAGAATCATTTCCAAGCCTAATTCATAACCAGCACCGCAACTCCCATAGAGCAACTCATCCCCGAGAGCTTCTTTTGTACGCTTATACCTTGCATGGATGAATGAATGGATTCCCGCGCTCGCTGCCGCCCACACTGTAGTAGCGTATGTTGCGACTCACACAAGCACCCGCGATGATATAATATAACCCCTCCATGACCAAACAATAAATTAATACAAGAAAGAAAGGAACGAACCAACAAAAAAGCAATCAAAACGACAGAGTCCCCCCCCGCCCACCGCCAGATTTTTACACCGCAAACAGTACAGCCCAATAAGAAACGTAAAAGCACATCATGGAGCAGGCTGATACACCCATCCTCCCTGCTCAATCATTCTCAACCTCGCTTCATGATCCGCCGCAATCTCGGCGGGCGTGAGCCTATCCGCGCCATTCCAATTAGCGGACGAGGTGCGCGCTCTGAAGCGCGCCATTTGTCGCTCGTTCCTGTTGGTGAAGATGGCCTCCATGTCCAGGCGTGCCATGGGCCCGAAGACCTCCTCTGGGTTCATCGTCTGCTGGCGTTGTAGTTGTGCGCGGAGTTCGGGGGATTCGGCCCAGTCTGGGACGCGGAAGGCGTCTTTCGAGGCGTAGTCGTCGTCGTCATCTTCGTCTTCGGAGCTAGAGCAAAGGTTAGCAATTGCACTGGAAGATGTATGGAGAGGGGGGGAGGGGGAAAACATACTCTGTAGGGATTTCGGGTAATTCGATGAGCTCGCCATTTTGGTAGATCGGCGACTCCTTCACGCCAGCGGGGGTCTTGGTAGGCCTCATTGATTTGGACGTCCCGGGAGTCTTGAACGCTGTGGAATGAGAGGTAGGATTCGGAGGAGGATCGGAAGAGGAAGGCCCGGAGGCGGAAGCAGGCGCTTCCGCAGGTGCGAACCTGAGCTTTTCCTTAGAGAACTTGACACCCTCGACATGGGGTACGCTGCCAGGCTTCGTAGGAGGTCTAAGCATAGACGGAGCAGTGGACGAAGATGCAGACTGGCTTGCCGGTATATAGCCATGGGGAAGTCCACTCTTCTGACCGAGACCTCCTCTAACAGCTGACTGTCTGATCGGAGGCGCCATTTCCTTTGCAGGTCTAGGACGCTCCTCCTCAAACTCTCCAGTACGACGTTTCTTAGCACCCTCCTGTTGATACGCCGGACCACCAGGCTTGGGTGGAGCAAGGCGTGCATTCTGGAGATCATCCGACGATGACTCCTGCTGTAGAGCGCGTTTGCTGGCATTTGACTTCTGGAAGCTGGTAGCTTTAGTCTGATACTCGAGTCTCTTGTTTTCGGGCTCTTCAGACTTTTGACGCAGCTTCATTTTGTTAGCTATCCGAACGTACAAACGTTCAAGTCTGGAACCTACATTGGCGACAGACTGTATCCTCGATAACGTCTTCGCAGAAGGGGGAACAGCCTGCGCAGGCCTTTGTCTCATCTTTTTCTGCTCTTCCTCTTGAATTTGTCGTCTTTGGTTCTCTTGTCTGCGACGTTCAATCTCCCGCTTTGCCGCCATTTTTCGCTCCCGTTCCTCTTGTTCCTAGATATCAGACACCGAATTAGCACCTAAACTAGACTTGCACAGGAAGTAAACAAATAGGTACAACTAACCTTCTTCAGCTGGTTAGCAGCAGCAGTCAAGGACTTCAACTGCTTCGAAGTTCCTGTATTTCCTGTATTAGAGCCACTCCGCATACTAGAGTTAGAAGGAATCGACTGAAGACTATTCTGACTGGCGCTGGCGTTGAGAGAGGGCTCAAAGCTGCTCTTAAGAGCTGATATCAACGAAGAACCTGTTGGGGCAGTCATCTTGCTACGTTGATCCTGCATCTCTCTCTGACTAGCAGTGCCAATCCGAATGTTAACAGGTGCCGGCTTAGACTTTGGTGCTTCCTTAGCAGGTCTAGACGGACGCTTGTTCTCTGCAGGTTTCCGAAATCCGCCACCAGCCCCCCGGAGACGCGAGGGAGGACGCTCTGGTTCCGAGGAAGAGCCAAAACGCCGACGATTTACTTCACGATCCACAGCCCCTTCTTCCTCCCCGTCTTCTGAGGAGGATGAGGAATCGGAAGAGACTTCTATCACTTTCCTCCGTTGTTCTTCCTTCTCCCGTTGCTGCTCGGCTTGTTGGCGCCTTCTAAGTTCCTCTTTCTCCTTTCTGAGCATCTCCTCTTGGTGCTTGCGCCTCAGTTCTCGGACATGTCTAAGCTCCTCTTCCCGGGCTGCATTCTTGAGCTTTCGTGGAGATTTCATCAAAGGTGGCGCTGGTTCTGTTACCTCCTCTTGGGGCGTTTCGCGTGATCTCGAGTTCCTAGTCTGACGACTCTCCATGACAGGTTCAACGGCAGCAGCCTCATTAAGAGCCACTTCTTCTGCCACCCTCTCCTCTACCTTTCCGGCCTTTTTAGCCTCCTCCTTGGCTACCTCTTTAGATCGTGAATTCCTCGTTTGCCGGGCCTCCTCTACCAAAACGGGTTTCTCAACCGGGTTCTCCACAGATACCTCCTCCAACAATTGCTGAGCCACAGTAACTGAGTTAAGATCCGGATACAGCCGCTCCACTGGAGATTTGGCTGAATGTTGAGAACGTTCTGCCTCTGTATCGGTCTTCGTCGATTGCTTCATAGCATTGATACCCTGCCACCTAGGGGCCGGGCTGAGTGATTCAATCTTGGCCGAGGCGCTCGAAACTGAACTCTTAAGTAACATCTCCTTGGCTCTCTTGAACACACTCGCAGTGTGAGTCTTGACCGCCGATATAGCACCTTCGCCTCCCGGGGAGAGCGGCGATTGTAGATCCGGCTCTCGATGTTGCACCTCTGAAAATGACTTTGAAAGCCTGGGACGTGTCGCAGGGGATCGCGGAGGGGGGGCAGACACATCACTCATCGTTCTCGCAAGTGTCGCCACGCGTGCTGTTTGGGTCTTCTTAGGTGAATCCGGACGTCTAACAGGTTCCTCCTCAACGCCCAATCTTGGTTCGGTATGGCTTCTCGCCAGGCCAGGCTTAGTAAATGACTCTGAACGTGTCTTTTCCCCAACTTTCTCTCGCTCTTGCGGCAATTCATCGGCAATCGGACGAGTAGATTCACCCTGATGAATGCTGTTAGGCCGCCTCGTTGGAACAGGAGGTTGATCTTGCTTAAGCTGAGACAAATCTGGGTACGCTGGCTCCGCCGCAAGAACAGATACTGAGTGAGTCTCACGGGGAGCTTTGACCTTCCCAAGTTGTTGGATCTTTTCGTGAAGACGTTGAGTCGAAATCTTGTTATGGAGAACCTTATCTTTTTCAGTCTCCCCATTTGAATCCTCCCCCCGCGCCGCCACTTCAACTGGGTTGATGCTTTTTGATTTTTTTCGTGATCTCGTAGTTTCCTGCTGCTCGCTCTTGCGTTTCAGAGACTTCTCAACTGGCACCGGCCCATCTTCGTCCCTATCTTCAATACTATTCGCCACCGCATCAACAGACCGATTTGCAGCTCCCAAACTCTTGCCATTGCCCCCCCGGTTCATCCAGCTAGCTCTGCTTGTGCCGTTAGCACGAAGCTGCTCGAGATGGCTCTCACGAGTAACCCTGACGCCCAAACTCTTCTTTTTGCTAGTTAACGGCTCTCTTGCAGGGAGAGATGCAAAGTTGAGAATGCTCTTTCTAATTACAGGCTCAGGCGATCCTGAGCCAGATCTCTCACTGGCAGGGGTCATCTGAGTTTCTGGTTGCGGTGGCTTCTCGGCCTCCTCAGCATGGCGTATAGGAGTTCCAGCTGGCGCTGGCGCTGGTTCTGGTGCTTGCGTTGGCTCACTAGGCAGTTGAGGATATCCATCACCTGCTGCCTTTCCTGTGAATGACTTTGTCTCTTCTTGTGATGGGGCCGGTCGTGTAGCCGGAGGTGATGATGGGGGTGGAACCTCATTCTCGTTATTAGACAATTCGGAACCGGTAGAGCCACGTCCGCTGCGTATACGTCCAGACCGCCGAGGTTCGGGAGCTGGAGCAGCATCCCTCTCAGGTGAGTGAGATATCGTCTTGACCGGGGATACACGCCGAGATTTTGGCTTTCCTGGGCTCTTCTTCGGCGACTTGGGCGCTTTTTGTATTGGTGAATGAGGTCGTTCGGATGAAGCCTCATCTTCGTGTGCCGTGCGGAACGATTGTCGAGTAGTCCTCTCATCCGATTTACTCGTGGGCGCTGATGGAGGCGCAGGCGAGGGCAAAGCAGCCTCCTCTTGTGCTGGGACATCCACCGGCGTTGACTTCCGTCGTGACGGATACACAGACTGTTGTGATGCATATTCTGATGAAGCACTCCAAATCCCACTATCATTAACCTGGGCCGCCGGACCCTCTACCTGGCTAAACTCGATACCACTATCACGCATCGTACCATCTACCTGAGGAGGAGGAGGAGCGACATCTTGTTGTTTCCGTAACAATCGATTGGGGGATTTCGAGCCTGAGCTCTTCTCGCGTGCTGGGCTCACGCGGCTGCCATTACTAGGGAGTTGTGAAAGCGCATTGTGAAATCTACTATCTCCAGCGGGCAGAACCGCAGCTGGCTTATTGGCACCAAATACATCGCCGAAAGGCTACATCACAACGCGTTAACGGAGATTAAAGGCTACAGATTGACACTGATGGCGACAAACCTCTACCTGTCTCAATTGCTGTCGGGCAGTTCGAGGTGTTTTCCCTCTCAATCTTCCCGGAGTCTTAAGCAGCTCAGTCATATCCCTAATTTCCCCCCATTAGCACTAACCTCACCGATGGACCAAACAGGGGGTATTCTCTCCAACATACACCTGACTGCGCTCGAAAATATCGGCCATATGCTCGTTGAGCCATTCTAGCTCTCCCCGAGCCGAGAAAGTGAAATCCTCAAAATCCTGTCCGCCGAGTTGACGCATTGTTGTACGCTCATTCGTGATCCAGGTCATAGAGCCGACGGGGGCTATTTTCGAGATTGGGCGACCGGCCATGATGCTCTGTCGAAATCAAAACAAACAAACCGGGCGGCAAACAAACAAAGAGGGAAAGAAAAAATGACAAGAAAATTATAAATGCCTTTCCCTTCTTTGCTGAATTTTTTGGTGTTCCCCAGTGCTATCAATCCGAGATGATATTTAAGAGGTTGAAAAAATTTCGTAATGAGGCGCTGCTGTGGTGGAGGGGGGGTGCGGAAAGTTGAGATGGGGTGAATGAATGGATGAAGGAGACGACGGGAGGAAAATTGTTGGGTGGGGGGGAAAGCTTTGTTTTGATGGCCAAAACGCGCTAAAGTACTTGTAACTCCGGGCCTACGCGCCCTATTGGCCAGCCCTTCCAGTTCGCGTCCCTCCCGTGACCTCTAGGGCTTTAGGTTCACCGGAAGAGTCAAAGGAAAACCTCCCATGACGACCTCCTTCTCATTCTTAATAACCTCTCCACGCGCACCTATCATACGTGAAAACTACAGCAGATCCCTTCAAGTTCAAAAACCTTTTGTTCCCAAACCGCAAGATAATTATGCAAAATATCCGATACATTGCCAATCCACTATCTCCTAGACCACTACAACCGTGGAAAATTCTATGCCACCCCTATCAGCGTCTAAGATAGAGATGACTAAGGTGCTGCCTTGGTATTGTTCAGTGATGATGTGCGTGTCATAGGTATGATCATATACGGTAGCTAATGCCGCCACTGGTTACTGGTAGTCTGAAGTTTGAATTTGTAGTAATTAACAAAAAAAAAAAAACTCTTCTCACATTCATCACCTCATGTACCACATCTGCTTATCCTTCCTGTTCTCCGTCTTCCACTCAATCTCAACCTCAACCTCTCGGGAGTTCCCAGATCGTTTTTTGTAAGTAACCTCACCATTGATTATTTCACCTTCCTTCAGCAGTCCACCCCTCCTATCAACCAACAGCACCCCTTGTTTCCAATGGGTCAACTTGCCAAACGGCCCAGTAGTAAATGCCACACCCCCCTCACCATGTTTCCATGACTCTGCCCTGGCATCCTCCGGAACCAATTGATTTCGAGAAGTAGCGAAGAACGTATCGAAATAGATGACGAAAGCATCCAAACTTTCAACGTTCTGCTTGATTCTAAGTTGGAAAGGCTTGGTGAAGGTGAGGTCAGAGGTCCTGATTGTGTGCAATGGCAAATGGCAAAAAGCGATCGGCTCTGAAGCGAGGGACGAGGAATTAAGTCCGGTTATTGCTACATCCTCTCGGATCTTCTCTTTCATGGCCGTCATGGAGAAGCCGTATACGTGGTTCCAGAAGTCGACGCTGTCATTCATGTACTCGGAATCGTGCATTGCCGCAATCAAGATCTTGCATTCAGACGGGACCACTAATAATTACCGAAATGTTAGAGATTAGACGTAGGGGATCGCGGAGATCGAGACTGCTAACTCAGGCCATCAGGAGCAAGATACTTATCCCGAGCGAAGAGGACCGAGTCCAACATCGCTTCGTAAAGGAGAACATAACCCATCCATTCGGAAACAATGACATCTACTTGCTTAACAGGCAATGTTACTTCCTCAATCTTTCCACGTATGCAGCTACCAAACGTTAGTTCGTTACTGACCATTTAAAAAACAGGAAAACTTAAGGATTAATTAGTACGTTATGACGCCGTCCAAGCTGTTCTCGAAAACGTTTGCTGCAGCTTTATTTATGATTGCTGAGTTGTCCACCGCAATGACCTTCTTTGCCCCAACCTTTGCGCAGAACATTGAAAGAACACCGGTTCCGCAGCCAACGTCTAGAACCACCTGAGATGCCAGCTCGTACCAGTACTACCAATTCCAATAGAAATAAAAGCAAGGCCCATACCTTGTCTTTAAACAAGTGCTTATTCCCATAAACAAAGTCCCGATAAGCATCCGTCCTGACACTATCCTTCAGCATAATTTCGTGAATATCTACCCCCTCATTAGCCCTCACCCCCCCCCCTATTCCCCAAAAAAGGACCTACCATTCCCGGAATAACTCTCAAAGTAATGACTATCATCCTCACTCCCCCCCTTTTTAACATCCCTATCCTCCTCCTCCAACCGCATCTCAAGATTCCGATTAACCGCCTCCCTATACTCTGAATGCACCAACTCCAACTTTTTCAACCTCTCCTCGAGCTCGCGTACCCTCTTCTGATCCTCGGTGAGCCCCCCGTCCTCTTCTTTCATATTTTCTCCTTCTTCGCCGTCAAGACCAAACAGTAACGCATCATCCTCAAGCACTGGCCGCAGGTACTTCTCGTCCTGCAGGAATGCTGCAGTAGTAGCAAAGTCCGGGACACGCGATTGTGCGATTTCAGAGCGGATGTAGTTTATCAGTTTTATGCAGCCGTAGAAGTCGAGTCCTAAAACCCACCTCCACCATTATTACCCATAAACCTGCGGTGGAACGGAGGAAGAGGACAAACCAAGTTCCCTTCTGACAACCTTGTACTCAAACCCATGCACCGCAGCACAATGCTCGAACACACCCTCCGATAAAGGGAAAGTCTGTGTGCAGAACAAGCAGACAATGGAAACCTCTTCGCCGTCCGCTTCCGCGTCTTCCCAGCCCTCTTCGTCCGAGTCGTTGAGGATGCTGTCTTGTTCCGTATCGATGGGTGGGTCTGGAGCCCGGGATCTGGACATCGTTACCGTCACAGCGAGGGAGGGAGGGGATGGAGCAAGAGGGGAAGAGAGAAAAATTCGGTTCAATTGTTGTTGAATGTGCCCTTTACGGTAGTTGATGTTTTCATTTGCAATGCTCCCCCCTTTTATTCTACGCTTCCTTCACATTATACGGTAGTGGGGCCTATGGTGGGGTTAAAATTTAATGCACGAATGAAGTCGAGGCTTGCCGGGTAACGGAAATGCTCAAAAAATTTTAAGCCTCTACAAAGAATAGCTCGAGGACGAGTGACGTGATATGAACATGATATCGAGTGAGAATAAGGGAGAAAGGATTAAGTTATTCGAGTACCGGTACCCGGCGTACGATAGTAACCCCCGTTGCAATTTTCGCAAGCATATTACAAAAGGGACGTGGGGCTAGTTACGGGAGGCTAATAACTCTTAGGAAGCTTAAGCACTTTCTCTCCAATGAAATTAAATATCATCTCCCGTGACACCGGGGCGAGGCGTGGAACCCAGCTCTCGCGCAGGTAGCGTTCTACGTGAAAGTCCTGCGCGTAGCCCATTCCTCCGTGGACGAGGATCTGTAGTACAAGCGGTGTATTTCTCGAAGATTAGCTGACTGACCATCCGGATCCAACCAAACGGCACTCCAATACCCGAGTAAACGATATGAAACGAAGTAAGGGGGGGGTTACAGCTCGTTCGCAGGCAGCGTACCCCGCCTCTGCGGCCAGGTATTTTGCTGAATTACATGCCGCACCAACGCTTATGTGGGATGGAGTCTCATTGCTACTGCTGGCTGTGCTTGAGGAGGTCTCATCGTACAGCTTCGCCGCGTGGTATTTCGACAACTTCGCGGCTTCGAGGTTCATGTACGCCGCTGCGAGCGCATGCTGGATAGCTTGGTTTTGCCCGATCGCGCGGCCAAAGACTATCCTTTCCTTAGCATACTTGGTTGCACGGGAGAAGGCTAGGTATCCTAAGCCTAGGGCCTCGCCGGCTAGTAGACAGCGCTCTGCGTTCAGGCCGTGAAGGAGCTGGATGTGGGAGCTTAGTTCGATTTTGCCTTCTTAGGGATGGGTATAGTATAAGGTGAGATGAAGGGAGGGAGTACAATTTTAAACCCCTGACCTTCGGCACCGATCAGACTATCGACTGGGATAAGGTAGTTGTCGAAGAAGACCTCGTTGGCGTCAATAGCTTTACCACCCATTTTCTTGATTTTACGGAGGGTCAGGCCTGACGCGGATTTATCGAACGGGATGAAGAATAGTGAGAGGCCTTCACTGGGTTTCTTGATCGCGGAGAGGGGAGTCGTGCGCGCTGAGCTGATGAGATCCAGCTAGAATTGTATCGTTTATTTGTTAGGAATTGGGTGAGCTACAACAACGAGTACAGCCATCTCCCTACAATCTTACAAACGACCAGCTTCGCTACTAATAATGCAAAGAGCTAGGAAAAAAACAAAGGACCACCCAAAGAAATCCCTCCACTATACCATTGAGATACAAGAATGGGACAGGAGGAAAGGTAAAAAGGAAAAGAAAAAAAAGCAAACTCGGACTTTCTATACCAAGTCATTATGGGCATTCGGGGCAGCAAGGTAAAATTGTAAACGCTGCAGACAGGGCGCTTTTAGTAAGAAGAAAACAAATAACAGGTGATGAGAAGCATGTCATAGAGCCGGCCTCAACCCTCAAGACCTCACAATCAGCGGCGCAGGCAATTACCTTCAAAAAGGCCTAGGTCATGCAATCCATACTTTTGAACAAGCGCTGGGGGTAGGTATCTCCGTCTGTATCTTCCTTGAATTTTTCCAGTTCATCGGCAGTTGCATTGCTAATCCACGAGAGCAACCTGCGAAAATCAGATTCCTGTTCCGGGTTCCACCACAAGCGGCTGTTGGTGATGGTGGTCGCACGGGCGTTCATCGCATATACTAGTTGTTTGTATTCTAATGATAGTCCCAGTTAGAAATATAAATAGTGCAATCGCAGAACACCCAAATACATAACACTGCCCCAAATACACAGTCCCCAATGAATGGCTTGTAACATTGAATTACTAGGATTTGGCCAATCTGGACTGAGCCAGAAGGGAACTGTGTATTTAAGGGCGTTGTGTATTTGCGTGTCTCATAATTGTAGCAGGGGATCCAAAGGAAATAGGAAGCATACCGAGAAGTGATTCGGCCTCTAACCACGACAAACCGTACAAAGTAGAAAAGGTAGCATCATGATCGTATTCAATCAGGTGATTTCTAAACAGGCAAACGTCCAAACAAACATCACCCGCGTGGGCTCTGCGGTTTCCAGAATTTATTATGGAATGATCCTTATCTTCCATTTCTTGCTCCCTCCGGCGATAGGTGGCGAAAAACCGCTTCCTAATGTCGACAGCGGTGTCCGTAAGCGGGCGCAAAATCATAAGTTCTTTGGCTTGGTCGTCAACCCTGTTCTGTAATTCTTTTGCCTTGTTCTGTAATTCTTTTGCCTTGTTCTGTAATGCTTTTGTCTTGTGCTCTTCATCATCAACCTTATTCTGTAGTGCAAGAATATCGTTTTCCATTTTTTGGATCGACCGGAGTAGGGAACGACCAGGTTTATTTGCGTAAGCGGTCTGATTTGCTGGTGTTCCCATTCGCATCCGAGAGATTGATCGAACTCCGGTATTTAAAGATCTCCTAACTCTAAAGAGCTCTCTTCTTTGATCTACACTCCCATCAATCTCGGTATAGACAAGCCCGGTTACCATCTAGACAATTGATAAATAGTTAGTAGACAACAATATTTAAGGGCCAGATAGTAGAAAACAATATTTAAGGGCCAGAGTCAATGCTGATCCTACCTTTGCCCGAAGGAGGTATGGCGGGTGCTCGAGTAGTTTGAATATTTACTAAGATAAATAGAGAGTTCGGGGGACTGTTTGTCCCGAGAGGCAGGATAGACGGTTGACGGGTTTCCTGTAGTGATGGTGGGGGTGGAAGGCCAAAGGAGAGAAAAAAGACCAAGAAGGATGGCTCGCAGACACAATAGTCTGGGGAGTTGCAGAGCTGGGGGCCAAGAGAAGAGGATCGAGATGGAGAAAGAGGTAGATCTATCGTATGCTAGACAAGGAGGCGATGGGTGGTGTTAATGTAGTGAGAGAAGGATGAGCAGATGGTTGAAGGGTAAACAGAGAGGTAAATAAAGAGAACAACTCTCTCAAGCACCATGCCAAGACCTCTTTTTGTATAGTCACATGATGTATGAGCTTGGCACAAAAAGTCATGAGTAGGATATTTGTACGAGGCTATCTGCAAAATTCGCTGACACTTCCCCATTTTACACCAAAATTATCCACTTTCACTCTGCAAACTCTCAGCCTTTTCACTGGGTAAAAAAATTTAAAATTTGTTAGAGATGGAAACGAACGGCGATTCAAGGGCAAAGCGGAAGCACCCCGGATCTCCGCCTACCGACCGGCCTACCAAACATCTTCGCGATGACTCCTTTGGAACTGACCACGACGACATTCACTTGCCTGGGGATGAGGAGCAGGCCTTTGTTGCCCTGGAGACTAGACTTCTACCGCCCACGGTGGCGACCCATGATTCCGCGGAATGGCAAAAAACTATTGAGGAGGTTGTCAGGAACGTGGTCAGCATACGATTCTGTCAAACGTGCTCATTCGATACGGAATCTGCCATCACTAGCGAAGCTACGGGCTTTATTGTCGACGCTGAGAGAGGTTACATCTTGACGAATCGTCATGTTGTGTGCGCCGGGCCTTTTTGGGGATACTGTGTCTTTGATAATCATGAAGAGGTATGTTCGCGCCGGCCGGCTATCTTGACCGACTATGGCTAAGCTGTTTAGTGTGACGTTTATCCCGTCTATAGAGATCCTATTCACGATTTCGGTATTCTTAGATTTGATCCGAAGGCCATCAAGTACATGCCCGTTGGCGCTCTTCAGCTTCGGCCTGATCTTGCGCGTATGCATCTCACATCCCTGCTCTATCGCGTTGGCAGCCACTAATAGAGGTTCAGGGGTCGGCGCTGAAATTCGAGTTGTCGGCAATGATGCCGGGGAGAAGCTTAGCATCTTGTCGGGAGTAATCAGCCGAGTGGATAGGAATGCACCCGATTACGGTGATGGCTACAATGACTTTAGTGAGTGGGGCGGCTGGGTTCGGGCGGGGTACATTTTATTGACGAGATTTATCAGACACAAATTACATTCAGGCTGCCGCTTCGGCTAGCGGTGGGAGCTCTGGGAGTCCAGTCGTTAACATCGATGGGTATGCCGTAGCTCTACAGGCTGGGGGTAGTATAGAAGGCATGTCTCACCCGTCACTTATTGCTACGCTTGCGCTGATATGAATTAGCCGCGACCGACTACTTCTTGCCCCTTGATAGGCCTCTTCGTGCTCTTGAATGTATCCAGAATGGCAGACCTGTTACTCGTGGAACCATACAAACACAATGGCTAACAAAACCGTTTGATGAGTGCCGTAGGGTTGGGCTGAGCCCTGAATGGGAGGCTGCTGTGAGGAAAGGGTTCCCGAAAGAGATTGGGATGCTTGTAGCTGAAGTCGTACTCCCCGGGGGCCCTGCTCATGGCCATATCGAAGTATGTGCTCCTTGATTATGAGAATTTTTGTTGCGATTATCCTAACATGTTGTCATAGGAGGGCGACATCTTGATCAAAGTCAATGGAGCTTTGATCACCAAGTTTGTTGGCCTAGATGAGATATTGGACAACTCTGTCGGAAGGAAGGTCAAGATGCTGGTGGAGCGGGGAGGAAAAGCGATGGATATTGAACTCGATGTCGGGGATCTTCATGCTATCACCCCCGATCGCTTTCTTACCGTCTGCGGGGCCTCCTTCCATGATCTATCTTACCAATCCGCTAGGCTTTATGCCATTCCGGTCCGGGGGGTCTACGTTTGTGAGCCGGCGGGTTCGTTCCGGTTTGACGGGATGGACAAAGGGTGGATTATTGAGGTGCATCCTATTGTTTTGCTCTGCCGTGAATACAAGCTAACCTTCTCTAGTCCCTTGACAATAAAAAAACCCCAAATCTTAATGAATTTATAGAAGTAGTGAAGAATATACCAGATCGGTCTAGAGTTGTCGCAACTTATCGCCACCTGCGTGACCTTCACACCATGCACACCTCAATTCTCTATATTGACCGTCACTGGACTACCAAAATGAGGATGGCTATCCGTAACGGTTTGTTGATGTTCTGAAGACTTGATATTATTACTTGAACTGACTGGATCGTGTTTAGATATCGCTGGACTGTGGGACTTTTCGGATATTGCGGATCCTAAGCCTCCTGTTCCCCTTGCTCCAAGCTCAGCCCAGTTTATAAGGTTGGATAATGTGGGTTACCCAGCAGCTAGTGACCTGGTGCGTAGTTTCGTTCGGATCTCGTGTGTCATGCCAATAAAGTTGGACGGATTTCCTCGAGCGAGAAAGGTAAAATTCTCTTGCTCCTCTTTTGTCTTCCGCTAATGAATTAGACTGGGTTTGGTTTAGTCGTGGACGCCGAGAAAGGGTTGGTAGTTGTGTCCAGAGCTGTAGTGCCCTATGATTTATGTGACATCTCTATCACCGTTGCCGAGTCAATTGTCGTGGAGGGCAAAGTCCTGTTTTTGCATCCTCTGCAGAATTATGCAGTTGTGCAGTATGATCCGACGCTAGTGAAGGCACCTGTTCAATCCGCTAAGCTCAGCGGTGAACATATCACTCAAGGTATGATACGATTCCTTTGGGGAATACATTAAGGTGGCCACTGACTTTTCAATAGGCGCATCGGCAATGTTCTTGGGCTTTAACCAAAACCTCAGAGTAGTTGTTGCCAAGACTTCTGTTACCGATATCACTACCGTTGCGGTTCCTGCCAACAGTTCTGCGCCCCGTTACCGAGCGATCAATGTTGATGCGATCACAGTCGACACTAGCCTTAGCGGCCAGTGTGGAAGCGGCGTTCTTGCTGATGCAGGTGGAACTGTTCAGGCGCTGTGGCTTACTTACCTTGGGGAGCGAACTCATAGTAACAAGGATGTCGAGTACCATCTTGGCTTGGCTACACCTTCCCTACTCCCGGTCATTCGTCAGTTACAGAATGGCATAATACCCAAGCTAAGAATGCTTAATGTTGAACTGCACTTGGTGCACATGAGCCAAGTTCGGATTATGGGTGTCTCGGAAGAGTGGATCCGCAGAGTTGAGCAGGATAACCCCGAGCGCCACCAGTTGTTCATGGTCCGAAAGGTCGAATGCGGCCATTCTCAGACTCTGGAAGAAGGAGATGTCATCTTGAGTATTAACGGGAAAGTGATGACAAGAATAACAGAGCTAGACGTTATGTACGATCATGAGTACCTGGACATGGTTGTGGTGAGGAACTGCGAAGAGATGATATTGAGAGTGCCCACTGTCCCAACCGACGATTTGGAGACCGATCGCGCTGTCATATTCTGTGGTGCTGTTTTGCATCGCCCTCATCATGCTGTACGCCAACAAATAAGTACCCTGCACTCTGAGATCTATGTTTCGGCACGGACTCGGGGTTCCCCGGCGTATCAATACCAGCTTGTGCCGACAAATTTTATTGTCGGTGTCAACGGAGTCAAGATTTCTGATCTTGATTCTTTCTTGCACGAGGTCTCGAAGATACCGGATAATACCTGTAATGCCAAATTACCCGACTCCCAAGATTTCCTTTGGCTAATCAAATGTATTACAGATTTGAGACTGAGAATCATTACCTTTGATAATATTCCATTCGTGATTACTATCAAGAAGAACGAACATTATGTAAGTCTTAACAGCTCCGACTTTCTGGAAGGACGCAGCTGCTCACGTTCTGCTTGTCATAGTTCCCCACCATGGAATTCATAAAGGACCCTTCTGAGCCCTGCGGATGGCGTAGACAGACATACGAGGGCAAATTTACACATGCTGGTATAAAAACCCGTGTAGCTATCTCAGGGATCGACTAACGAGTCAATAGGGTTAGAATCCAATATCCTTGCGGAGAGTATGCTAGCAATCTACTATCCTGAAAATTCGTGTCAAATGCTAACTCGGAGAAATCATCCAGATATGGATGAACTTGGTGGCGAGTAGTTGGCAAAGCAAGCCGACTGGCTTGCTTATCTATTTCAGTCATCTTCAGGGGAGTGTACGATTTTATGGTGACCGAGCACTTAAGGGATTAGAATGGCGCTTGATATTTCTCACACTTTCTTCCCTCTTTTTTGTCTTTTTGTGATCACTTCAATGAGCTAAATGGTTTATGTTACTTTGAATGCTTGGAGGCGCTTTCCCTAATTATGGGTATTTTAAAGGAGGGGATCTCACATATCTTCCTGAATTATGAGCGATGTACATGGTGTCGAGCTATTGTGGCGGGTAGCCAGTGTGGCTTTTTTTTTATGATATTCTTTTTATTTTATTTTTTTGGTTTTGTATCATACGATAGCATTTATATCGTGATTGCATGCTCTGGAGTCTTTGCGATACAATTAATAGAAATTGAACTCTCTAGATGGATCGCTTGATGCGGTGGAATTGGCAATGATTCAAGTGATTTTATGATGCTAACTTGCGGTACCGTACTCGAGTAGTGGCGCTGTAATTTGCTCGTAGCTGGTTCTGAACTAGCAGTTAACACTAACTGAGCCTGGTCAGGAACCATAAGAAGCCTAAACAACGAGCCCCACCTTTCGTCAAATCTTTTTGGTTGAGTCAAACTCAGATCCAACGACTCTTTCAACAAACACCGCCACCCTTTCATCTCTGTTAAACAACTTTGCCCGGAGGATATCGTCATGGCGCCCACCAGTGCTTTCAACCTCCAGACTTGCGCACGCAAGAATATTCTCCAATTGGTCCCATACCGATGCGCTCGAGAGTGATCTACTCCTCCGAGTTTTCTTAAGAGAATTTCTAGCTAACGACCAGACTTGCAGTGACTACAAAGACGACGGCAGCAACATCCTCTTGGACGCAAACGAGAACGCCTACGGTCCTAGCCTACCCTTCAACTGTCCTGACGAGTCAGAGGCGGGAATAGGTTACGACTACACCCATCTAAATAGATACCCCGATCCGTAATACTTCCTCCCCTCTTCAAATTTTAGTTGACCGATTCGGTTGACCAAATGTCTATAGCCACCAAGAAGACCTCAAAAGGCTCTTCTGCAACTACCGTAATAAAAACCCTACTAAGCCGCTGACCCCGGCGAACTTGTTCCTTGGCGTCGGCTCAGACGAGGCTATCGACGCGGTCCTCCGGTGCTTCTGTATTCCTGGCAGGGACAAAATCCTAACATGCCCGCCAACTTACGGAATGTACAGCGTTAGTGCGCAGGTCAATGATGTCGAAGTTATAAGGGAGCCATTGGACCTGGTCAGCGGCGAGTTCGAGCTTCGTCCGGATGCGATCAACAAACGTCTTTCGGAGGATCCCACTATTAAACTCGTCTACATATGCTCCCCCGGAAACCCTACTGCAGGGACTGTCGATCCGGAAGCGGTACGTAAGGTCCTCGCGCACCCGACATGGAACGGCGTTATCGTCGTCGACGAAGCATACATCGACTTTGCACCCGAAGGAAGCAGTCTCGCCCCATGTGTCGTCGACCACCCAAACCTCGTCGTTATGCAAACTCTATCTAAAGCCTTCGGACTCGCAGGAATTAGACTCGGCGCGGCGTTCACGGCTCCGGAGATAGCGCGGTTGTTAAACAACCTCAAAGCTCCCTACTCTGTTTCCTCCACGACCTCTTCTCTCGCCATGGCCGCGCTTTCCCCCGCAGGATTGGCCGTCAAGAACGAGAATGTGCGTAGATTGTTGGTGCAGCGCGATAGGATTATTTCTGAACTTCCAGAGTTGCCGGGGATCGGGAGGTTTTTGGGCGGGTTTGATAGTAACTTTTTGCTGGTTGAGATTCTTGATAATAACGCGGTTCCGAATAGTGGGGTTGCGAAGAAAGTGTATGAGCAACTTGCGGAGGAGCATGGGGTTATTGTTAGGTACCGTGGCGGGGAGGCTGGGTGTACAGGTTGTCTTAGGATTACAGTTGGCACCGAGGCGGAGGTTGGGAGATTGTTGAAGAAGTTGCGGGAGACGCTTAACGCGGTTAGGGGGGAGTAGATATGTTACAAGTATCATACTTGAAGGTGGATTTTGCCCTTGATAGAGAATGGAAGCGGTTAGATATAAGGGTTGAATACCGTATGGCTGAGTTAATGTGTCTTTTTTTTTTTTTTTTTTTTTGAAGTGATCGCTCCAGGGTGTTTTTGTTGATGCTAACTTGAGAACATAATTCTACTGTATCCTCCGTATGATACATTCCTTTAGCCTAAGGCGAACTCAATGTTAACAACTATTTGAGATCATGTCTTGGCAACATTAACTTAAATTATCACTACTATTAATTGATACCTGCTTGGATTTATGGGTAATAATCTAGGTTAAAATTGCCAGGACATGACTTTAAATCGTGATCTCAAAACAAAATCACGGCCGCCAAACACCCCTTAATACGATAAATTATCGCAGACTGCTCAAAGGCACACCCAATCACTCGCAACACTTTACGGTTCGAACAGTAAGTTGACATAACGTAGGATACGATGCAATAAGACTTAGCACGACAACTTACCGTAAATCTAACAGACGCCGTTAGGCGTACTAGTATTGTAGCAAAAACCACCCCCAGACCTGGAGAGACGTACAGTACTTCATGTTAGATCAATGATGCCTAAAGAATGATGTACCACCGTAGGGATAGAAGTCGGGGAGATCCTATATAATTACAGCAAAATTAATTGGCTCATAGTCCGTCCATCATATACAGTTGGCTGGAGAGTAGGGCAAACAATGGGTGAAGCTCAAGGGAGTAAAGAATGAGGAATACTGTATTACTCCAACCTCAGGGATCGTAGGCACCTCGAGACCTTGAGTGGGTGGGAGGCGATTTGCTTGCTGTGAATCTTGTAGTCCATGACACCTAGATCCTGGCAATTTGGAGATCTTGCGGGAAGACAGGGCTGCGGTGTCTCCAGTGATCCAGTTAGTCTGTGTTAGAGGTATGATTGGGCTGACATATTATGGCCCATAGTCTAGATTTCTTTTTTTTTTTTTTTTTTGAGTGCCTGGACTATGCCTGGTTGCCCGGGGACCGGACCGGACCAACTATGATCCCAATTGCCTGATATGATGTGATCAACCTGGGCAATCAACTCCAGCACTCCGCAGCCCTTGATAGTAGTGTAATTAAAACATATCTCTTTCTTGGAGGTATGATAACTAAGAAACGGTGCCACGGTAGAGTGAGCAGGATAGAATGAGAATTAGCCACTTTGGAGTAGCTGTGAGAAAGGTAGGAAGGGTATGGCCATACACTTTGCTCTCTCTTCTTGCCCATTAACCAAACTAATAGTTGGGTCGGGGGTACATAGTATTATAAAGCATAACGCAATCGTCTTGATTCTTCCAAGAGTTACCGACACATATTGGCTTTTCCCTGCACTGTCGTCACCATATCCCCTGCAGTACTCCCGTAATATGATAGCAAAAGAGAGACACCTCTGGAATACCGTCGCTGTACAGTACATCACCATAACTCGAAAATTAAAGAAACCTCCGGCGACATTTGGGTAACTTTCATGACTGGCCGCAACTTGTTTCCTCTATGGGTTCAACATCTCTCTTAGTAATTAGCACACTGCTTTGTTTACCCACCACTCAGAATGTGTGTTCCGATGATAGGCCGGCTTAACTTATACTCACCACTTCTCCTCTCAATACGTATCATACTGCCAACTACTCGTACAGGATCGATGCTGGCTTGAGTTCAGTTAGAGCCATGGGATTCGACGCCTATCGAAAACTGAACAGCCACTGGTTAGAGACTGGAGGGTTAGGGTTTTGTCGTCATGAGGTGTTTTCGTCGCGATAGTTTCTTTAAGTAGTGGTCGGGAGCACTGTCGCTCTGATTTTCCTCTGCTTTGAAATGCTGTTCCTTTTCCCTTGGACGAGTGGGAGGGAAATCTGTGCATGGGACTTGCCGGTGGACGTGTGCTTGGTTGTCGGAGCGGAGCCGGGTACCACCGGTATGGGATTGAGGAGCCGCTGATAACTTAGAACAAAGGTTCTTGCCATGTATCTTCTGTGTATCCAGCCCCATAGGGAGCGTCAAGTCACTTTTGGATCTTACCACGACATGGGATAAAACACAAGTTATCAATTCACAGGCTTTACACTTCCATTATAGAGGGAAATAGTTGCCCTCACGATTCTTACAGCTTGAAATTTCTTACCCTAGTATTCGAGTAGTGTCGAGCTGTGAGTCTCTGCAAATGGATGGTTTTGGTGTAAAATAGCCGGTGGCCCGAGTTTTTTTGTCACCCTACTGTGTATGCACTAGTACGGGTGGTGTACAGTACAGCGTAGTTAAGGAGATAGGTAACGCAGTTTTGTTTCCTCGCTGGGGAAAAGCACCTGATGTGGCCGTCGTGTTGTACAAGTTATTGGGGTATGAGTACGGTACTGGGATAGCAAAGATACTAAATCTACGAGTGGAGTTTTTCAGCGTTCTCATGGAGTAGTCCCTACCCACTAACCTACTGGGCTGTGCTGGCAATTTCCGGTGAAATGTGTGACGGGTGGTGTTTCTGGTAGGTGCCCCGGTGTGGAGGGGATCTATCATAGCTTTATTCATGACTTTCTATGGTACAGTGCTGGTACGATTTCTGTTCAAACGAGAATTCTTGGGGCTATGGCGTCAATCGCTTCTACTAATGGAGAATTATTATCGATCTGGGGCGCATCTTCTGGGTCGTAGGGGGGCGTAGTTCTTACGGAATTTAGATATTCTATACTATGTTGCTGGGGTAGAGCAGATGATCGGCGCTGCAGGTGCACGGAGAATTACGGGATGAGTAAAGATCACCGCTGAATATCAAGTTTTTTGTAGTACTCGTACATTACAGTACATGGACAGAGGAATTTAGCCTCTGGAAAGTATAAGTCAACCTTATGCTAACGGTTGGGTTACTTAGATCATGGGATTTTTTTTTTACTCCCTGCGAAAATATTACGGAAACCTATTACCAGTAAGAATATTTTGACTACGATATTCCTTAGCTACTCTTACCCTAATACAAGTAGCAATCTCTACTGTTAGCATACCCAATTGAAAAACATCCTTGCATCACGAGCTCAAGATCTTCGTCTCGGGCATCGAGGCACGTGATACCAACCAATTAAACTTCGGTAGATAAGCTCAACAGCACAACTCAGTTAGAATTCCAATATGACCGGAATAATAAAATACCCTTCGCCCTTTCTACTCGAGTATTTTAGTTGATTCCCTCCGGTTCTCTCTCTCCATCTCTCACCATCGGAACGACCTATCCAAAGTCACCACTACCATCACTTGCCCTTTTGATAAGAGAAAAAACGACACCAAAATGCCATTCCTAGACCTCCCAAACGAAATAATCCTCCAAATCTCTGAAGAGCAATCCCCACCAGACCTCAACTCCCTCGTGCGTGCGAATCGCCGTTTGGCGGTCCTCCTCGAGCGCTCTTTGGTGGACGCCGTATTCCGCATCCGCTCGAACAGATATGGCCGAAGAGCCCTCTACTCTGCCGCTGAACGGGGAGACAAGTCCGCCGTTAGGAACTTGCTAGACAAAGGAATTCTCGAAATTATCGAATTCGTCGGTAACGGGGGTCTTTTGCACGACGCTATTGCGACACAGAGTGTTAGCGTGGTCAGTACGCTGCTGGCTTGTGGAGTTGATACGGAAGCAAGGAACCTGAATTTCCGCACGCCGCTGCACATAGCGGCTGAGATCGGGCGTGTGGAGGTTGTGAGATTGTTGGTTGAGAAAGAAGGGGCTAATGTCAATGTTATGGACCCGAAAAGGAAGACTCCGCTATACCTCGCTGCGAGGAGACTGCACGTCAATGTGGTGAAATTGCTGCTGGAGGACGAGAAGACCGACGTCAACGCCTTGGACTACGTGGGTAGATCCGCATTACATATGTCATCAAAGGACCCCCGGTGGGAGGCGATTGCGAAGCTCCTGGTGAGCAGCAGCAGAGTGGACGTTAATTCCCGGAACGAACTCAACATCACACCTTTGCACGTTGGGGCTCTTTCGGGTAGTGAAGCGGCTGTAATGACTCTACTTGAGGATAGTAGAATAGACGTCAATATCAGGGACTACAACGGCCGCACAGCACTCTACCTCGCAATAAAGGAGGGTGAAGAATCCGTCGCGAGAGCCTTGATGAACGATCACAGGGTTGATATAAATAGTAGGGCGAACACCGGTTGGACACCCATGCACGCTGCAGCACACGCAGGCAGGGGAGATATTGCTAGGGACCTCCTGAAGGACAGTAGACTCGACCTGTCTCTCACCAGTCATCACGGAAGCACGCCACTGCACCTAGCCATCCGCCACCGCCGTGCCGACATAGCCCGCATCCTTCTAAACGACCCTCGCATAGACGTAAACCAGGTAAACCAGGACGGGGATACGCCGCTACACATTGCCGCGCGCGGCTGGGACGTGGTGAGTGTGCGGTGCCTACTGGGAGACCCTCGGATCGATCCTAACCCCCTCAATAATTCCTTGTGGACCCCGCTTCATGTGGCGGTGCTCAAGATGCGGGAGGAGGTGGTGAAGGTGTTACTCGAAGACCGCAGGGTCGACGTCAACCCGCGCGGGTGGAATGCGGAGACACCGCTACACCTAGCTGTCCAGAGGGGGTGTAATGGGATCGCTCAGTGCCTGCTTGGGCGGCCGGAGATTTTGGTCAACTTGAAGACGAATATGGGGAATACGGCGTACGAGTTGGCGACGATCCATGGCCTGGCACCGGTTCTTGTGGAGTTGGTGGCGAGGGAGGATCTTGTTTTTGAGTGACGGGTGAGGTGCTGAAATGGTATTTTTTTTCATTTTCATTGTAATTAGTGTAAATAGTGAGATAGTTTCGAGGTCTGTTTGGTCTGTGGTGGGGGGTTTACTTCAAGTAGAATCTAAATTACCTATAACGTAATTCACTGGGCAAGTGATCATCACCTGGTAAATGATTAGCATAAGGGGCAACTAGAGGTCAACAAACTCAGACCTTCCTTTTGGTACCATATCTCTATAAATACATCCGTATGTTTTTCTCAACCGCCAACACCGCTCCGAGATGTCCCTATACTCACGAACAACTTAGATCGGT